GAACCCTGGAAAGCCTACTATTCTAATTAGTAACGCCCCTGTATTAAAGCCTCCCGAGGGGCCGGCCGTCTCGTCATGACTCGGTTGTTGTGCCTCCCTGCTCGGAAACTTCTGCAGGGTTAGGGTTTGGGGTTTTAGGGGTTTAGGTTTTAGGGGTAGGGTTTAGGGCTTTTAGGGCTTAGGGTTTTGGGTTTAGTAGGGTTTAGGGTGCAGACTGGCGTTTGCAAGATCCGGTCATCGCTGTGCATAGGACGATCGTCGTCAACGCCTGGCACTCAATGTGACAACCGTGAAAGCCTGAACATATGTGACATGCATTCATGGTAGAGTTTAGCTCCACACCCTATGACATTCTCAGGCCCGGGCCAGGTAACCCTGAAGCGCCAAAGGCAAGCCCTATGTTACCCGAAGGGTCCATTTACCCAAATAGTAAACACATTGGCCCCCCCAAAGTACCTATACAGGGACTATGTTGACTATATAATCTAAATAATTGTTTAAGGCCAAAGCATACACTATTTGGGTACATGGACACTAAGGCTTGTACCGTAGGGTCTTTCCCTGGGGATCAAAACAGCCCAAAAGCCTAATATAGCATGGTCTTTGGGCCCAAAAGCCTTAATATAGGAGTGCTTGGATCCCTAGGGTTTAGTTAAGTCGCGGATGCAGGATGTCCGAGCTGCTTACTTGCACAAGCGTTCCAACTGTCGATTCGGAGGCTCCCCATCATCTGAATTCTACGCTTCAGGGCAGGTTGTTTGTGCTTCGTGCCGCCCACTGTAATGCAATGCAGCATAATAAGCCATCATAACGAAATGGACTCTACCGTAGTATGTTGATAGCACACCATGTCATGTAATGTAATAGCACCCATCATGATTCGTTAGACATCATCTACAGTAAGATATGAAGATCATATCATGTAATATCGTTGGCTTCTGCAGTCTCCATCTCTGGCCCGGAAGAGAGAACTCAGAATGAAGTTCTGCTGCAGGCGGCTGGAGCACTCATAGTTTGCAGGCTGTCTGGGCGAAAAGGCCATTGGATACAAGATTTCGGGTCATTTCGAGCCCTAAACTCGGATTCAAAATAAGCAGTCCGGCCTTGCAGTGTCGGTGTTCGGGTCAATCGGCGTGTTAAGCTTTACAGCACCTAAGCCTAAACCCTAAAGTGTTGAGGGTGTGCCAAGCCTAGACCCTGATTCACATTGGGCAACTTATTTGTGGGAGAAAAGGATCAAAAAGGATCCTACAAGTACGACGGCAATTGCTTCGTTGTACGGCTTGGGTGGTTTAGTGATTTCCTGAGACTCCCTAAACCCTAAGGCCCAAAACCCTCAACCCCTGCAGCCTCAATCCCTCAACCCCTGCAGCCCTAAACCCTACCACCTTTAACCCTAAACACCCTAAAGTGTCCAAAACCCTGAAAGCCTACAAACCCTGAACCCTTTAGAATTCCACTGTTTCTTCGGGTTTTGGGGCTCGGTCTAGCACCCCCTGTGGTCGCAGCGGCATTCCCAAGCGGGAGCCGACTCCACAGCCGAAGGGTCCATGTACCCTTGCGAGATCCGTTTTAGGGTTTAGGGTTTAATGTTCAGGGTTTAGGGGTTCAGGGGTTTAGGGTTTAGGGTTCAGGGTTTAGGGGTTTAGGGTTTAGGGTTCAGGGCTTAGGGGTTTAGGGTTTAGGATGTTCCTTAAACGCATCGTTTAAGGGTTCCTATAAGCTTATTATAAGGCTTGAAGGGGCCCCTTAGTGGCCGAGTAGGTAGTCTTTAACCTGGTGAGGTTTATATAACCTTACCATAATTGAAAAGGTTAACCTTTTCTGGGCTAGGGTACTCAGCCCCCAGGGATAAGGGCTCCTTTAAGATTACTACAAGGCTTCTGTGAGTGATTTAGGGTTTAGGGTTTCAGGGTCCATGCACCGTTGCAGTATAGAATACGTAGGAACCGCTCTGAGTCCTAAGTTTTTATTCTTTGAGGCGCATGGAGCCTTTTGCCAAAAAAGCCTAAAGCCCTTGTAGAAGCCTGCTTAGAAGCCTTTGATGGATCCTCGTAAGAATCCCATAAGGTGCATGTTTTCAGGGATACTATAACGGTTACTGTAAGGCAAGGGCCATACTACAAGGGTTACTTTAAGGGTGCCATAAGGTTACTGCAAGGGATCCCATAAAGGAATCCTAAAGCATCAATCCTAAGCCTTCGCAGGAGCCCTTAAAGGAACCCTGAACCGTAAATCCTAAACCCTTCAAGGAAGCTGAGACCCCAAATCCTAAACCTTCAAGGAACCCTAAACCGTTAAGTGCCCGAAACCCTCTCAAGGAACCCTATAAACCCTAAAACCTAATCCCTTAAAGGAGCCCTAGATCCTAAACCCAGAAGGAACAAATCCAAGACCCTTATGGGGTACATGGACCCGTAAAGGAGCCCTCAACAAAGCCCGAAAAGATCGCATACTAGAGGGGCCTTACTGTAATCATTACCCATACTATTATGGGGGCTCCTTATTGTAGTTATATAGTACAATGGGCCCCAAAATCCTATTCCAACTACTGAGGCCCCCTATACTATGGTACCCTTATAGTATCCCTGAAAGAAGCCCTTATAGGGGCCTTTAAAGGAACCCTATTCTACTTACTAAGGCCCCTATATTATAGAACCCTACTACAGATCCCTTATAGACCCCTTTTAAAGGGACCCCTTAAAGGGAACCCTATTCAAAACCGGCCCCTATGTTATGCGGTACACGGACCCTTTGGCAAAGCTGTCTTGACAGCGAGGCCTCGAAGCCGCAAGTCCCAGGTACAGCAGGTTCCGCAAGCCACGGTTGAGGGTTTAGGGGTTTAGGGTTTACGGGTTTAGAGGCTTCTAGAATTATAAAGCACTACAAGCCCAGTTCCTCAAACACTGATCCCTCCGGCCTTCTTTAGTTAGGGTTTAGAGTGTCAGGGCTTAGGGGGTTTACGATTTTAGGGGCTTTTAGGATTTAGGGCTTACAGGGTTGAGGCGCTTAAGAGCTTAGGGTCTAGCATGCAGCACCTTTGCGGGCTACCCGAGTTTAGCATAATAGGATCCTTACCATAATATAGGTTATCCAACAAGGTGGAATTTGATCAGGTCTAGGTAGAGACCTGAATCTTAAAGCCCCAAGCTCCAGTTTCGACTCTAAGCCTCTAGGCCCTGATGTCCACCGAACCCTGAGAACTAAGCCTTCAAACACTATGAATTCCAAGAACCCTAGAGCAATCACGCCTAAATGATTTAATTGTAGATGATATCCTGCTTCCGAGCGACTTGCCTCCGCTGCTACCCTGAACACCGAATGCAGCAGCGAGGACGAAAATAGTGCTTTCGGCATCAAGTCTGACGGTTTGAGGGCTGAGGGTTTAAGCTGGGCTGGCTTGTGCAGTAATTAGGTGTTCAGAGTTCAGGGCAGGGGTTATGGCTGCTGCAAACACGACAGTTTCGTTCAGCAAGCCGAAACCCAGAACCCCTACGTCTCCGCCGCAAAGTCGCAGGGTTGGTTCAGGATGTAGGCCTGCACCCCTAACTCCTAAACCCAAACCAAAGAAGGGCGGAGGGGTCAGGATGATTTCCCAAAGGGTCTTGAGTACCTATATGAGGGATACTTGCCCAAACCATAGTAGTCCTTCCTATGATAGAAACCCTACTACATTCTACTACATAGGTACTTAAGGCCCTTTGGGTTTTGAAGCCGTCTCAGACAAGCGGAACCATATGCACATAGAACCCCCGCGGTTGTGAAGAGGAGTATGGACTAGAACAGCATCGCACACCGAACCTCTGTTGTATTCTGTGTCCCCACGTTGTTCCACAACTATGCAGGGCGCTGGGTGTTTGGAAGGGGCCTCCCTTTCAGGGAAACGGCTTAGGGTCTAGGCAATGGCTCCAAACCGTAAACTAAACCCTGCCTGAACCCTATAAAGCCCACGTTTAGCCATCATTTCACATAAGAGGGTCTTAAGCAGGTAGGTCCTTTGGGGTCAACCCAAAACCCTAAACCCGGGAACCCTGTTCATCCGGATGATCTCCGGGGCCAGCCCACAGCCTGTTTTCAAGGAGACGGGGGTCGACTCTTATCCATGAAGAGGCCTGAATAACTATATATCATTAGTAGCAGTCTTCTTTCAGGTTCCTCAATATGTATATAATAATAATCAGTGTATATTGAGGAACACCAAATATGTAAGACTGCTACTAATGATATCTAGGTATTCAGGCCTCTATGGACAAGAGTCGACCCCCGTCTCCAGGCTGACAGGCTGTAGCCCAAAACCCTGTTCTCATGGTTGAGACCCGTACGTTAAGTTATGATATCGGTTCATCGACGGAGACAAACTGTAGGCCTGAAATTGTTGTTTTGTTGTTCAGGGCTTTCCGCTTCTATGTCAAATACTAGGAATAAAAACAATCACAGTAATGATGACAGTAATATATACGAAAGGTAACAGCAATAATAACAATAGTAACAAGCACACCAATAAGCATAACACCAGTACGTGTAGTGACGACGTGATTTTACTAGAAAGACTGTCACATACGAATACTGGTGCTAGCAAAAACGATGCTAAACATAATGCAGCATAGTCATATGTCATAGCCCATACCACAATATTAACAACTCCAATAAGAAAAAGAGTAACATAAAAGCAAAAACATAGTCATAGCAATGATAACCATGGTAACAATAAGAACCTTAACGATAGTACGAAGCACCTTAGTGCTGTAGTACCGAGCTAGTTTATCCACTTGAGAGATAACTGACGTCAGAAATCGCAAGCATATCTGGTCCATCCGAACCAATGCAAATACATTGCAACTTAAACTCTAATCCCTCAAGCCCCAGATCCTAAACCCTACGTGAACTCTAAACTCTAGACTCTAAACCCTTTAACCTAATCCCTGAACCCACGGCCCTAATCCCTACTAAACCCTAGACCCGAAATCTAGCCCGTCAAGACCCCTAAACGCGATGGGCAGGGAAATGGGTGACGAGAATCTCCTCCCAACGGTGGTCAGCTTCTCTTGGGCTGTCGACGCCTGCGAAAAGGCCTCCTAATCTGTGCTTTTGTGGTTTGGGTACGAGGTTTACGGTTCCTAAACTCTGAGCCCTAAACCTTGAGCATCCTGCAAGTGCGGAATGTGGAAAGACGACTTTTGCCCAGCTTCTTCTGTTCTGTCGAGTCCGAATCCTTGTCAAGGCTTGTGATCTCGGTTTTGGCAGCTTGGATTATGCCGTTTCGGTTGAGGGCTCAGGAAGGCTGATTTCGCAGGATGTTTTGATAAAGCCTCCTTTGACAAGGCTGCCGTTCTTAACATACTTGCTGCCCGACACCCTCTTCCTGTCATACCATATAGAAGATACAAAGGGTGCTCCCTTGTCTGGGTTAGAGCTCCATATTATGATCTTCGAAAAAGACGGTTGTGGATCCTCAAACTAGGATTTAGGGTCCACAACCCTAAACCCTAAACCCTGCCGCTTTGTCTGAACTTCTCTGTGACCACAGGCCCAGCGCTTCGATGTCGCACCTTGGCAGTAGTTTGCTTGGTCTTTTTTTGTGATTGACCAAGAGCCTCCATGTGGGGCTTACCTAGACCTCCCAACTACCCACTATTATACCTCAAATACCCGTTGGTTCTATTTATAAAGAGTTCAGAGTTTAGAGTTCCCGAAAATTAGGGGTACCTTGTTTTGGGGTCCTCATAATAAAGATCCTACTAGTTAGGGTATTCTCTTAGAGTCCCCTATTTTCGGAAACTCCCATGCGGGGTTTAAACCCCTGAACCCTAAATGCAGGGCTCAAGGGCTCCAGAGGTTACCGTTCAGGGTTCAGGGTCTCCTTCATCGGCATCAGAAGCGATTCTGTCACAATCGGCATCCTACTCTGGAGCATCCGCGCTTCTTCAGCGTCTTAAGTCACGTTTGCTGCGCTTGTCCTGGCGTAGGCGGTGATGGTCGGCCCTAGCAGCTAGCACTTTTTCATGATCATCATGCTGCAGTTTTGCTTATCCTGTTCTGTGCTTAATCTACTGCCGCGGCTGTCTGGCGAATGCCATCTTATCTGGCTGTGCCATTACTTTCGGCTGAGGCCAAACAGCTGATGGAAGAGCCAGGGCCTTACTGACACCCGCGAGTGGTAGGAAAAACTACCACCAGACACCAAAGCCCTGAGCAAGCAGACCCAAGCCGTCAGATATATCGCGAGTGATCACTGCTTCAAGTCAAAGGGGAAAAGGAGGGACCCTTAATGGGACCCCTACCCTATAATGGGCTACACAATGGGTATATAGCAGCTATATTAAGGGTATATACCTAGGGATCCTTACTAAGGGTCCCTCCTTTTCCCCTTTGATCAAGGCCTGGATCCTCTTTTTCATCACCGCGCGGACATTTCTTTTTGACAGTCATGAGCCCTCAAAACCCAACAGCCCTAATCCCGATGGTGCTGCGGCTGTTAACGTCAAACATGCTATTTACGTTACCGACCCTTTTGTTCGCATGACCAGAGCCGAAAGGTTTAACCCTGAAGCCCCCAACGCCTGACCCTGACCCTCAAACAAGACACTCCAAAGAAAACTGAAACCCCAAACCCTAAACGAAGCAGACCTTCTAAGCCGACTGTCGCAAAAGAACCCAAGACATCACATGTCCCTCATCGGGTCCCGTCCTTACCCAGGGGCTTCCGGAAAATTTTAGGGTTTAGGGTCATTACTCATTGTTGTTTGTGGCCTAGAGTTTTGGCCCACTTCAGGGATTAGGCTTCAATATTTGGAGTAAGCAGTTTTCTTGCAGCAAAAGATAATTTCCTACAACAGTTTGGGGTGTGGTTCTGAGCTTTGCTCCAAGTGAGTTTCCTTGGTAATAGGTATGCAGAAAATGTGAGCGCGAGGATATAATCTATGGATAACTTGAATTCTGTTGGGGTGTGTTGACTGGAACCGCAAGCCCCCCACTGTAGAATGCCTAAATCCGAGTCCTGGAACAGACTTTGCAGGGGCCTTTAGACCCCTAGGTATATACCCATTATATAGCGCATGATAGGGTAGGGGTCCCCATTCCGGGTACCCATATAATAGATACTTAGGCTTTAAAGTACCTGGGGCCGTTGACCCCTTAGATCTCCAGGTGTGACGTGCTGGATGCCGCCTAGGCACTGCGTGCCAGTGTCAATACCCAAGCCTCCGTCCTGATTAACCCTCAACCCTCCCCTACCTTGAAGGAACCCCAAAGGTACCCTTCAAGGATCCAATAAAGAACCCTTAAAGATAGAAACCCTTCTAGGAGCCCTTAAAGGAAACCTTAAAGAAGCATTAAAGGGGCCTGGTACTTTTCGGACCCAGAACTAGGAATTCTGAGACCCCAAAGAGAACCCCAGGGCCCACGCCCTAAAACCCTAAACCCTATAAACCCCTAAACCCATAAACCCTAAGCCCGAAACTGAACCCTGGACCCGCAAAAAAAACCCTAAATCCTTAAGTAAACGTTATATAAACCCTCAAAAGGCTTCGTCTCTGAAGACCAAGGTGTAGATTCGGGGCGTAGACTTCAGCTTGGAATTTCGCGTCCAGGGTTTGGCTAGGGTGACCAGGGTTTGATATTGTTCAGGATTTAGGGTTTCAGCATTTAGGATTTCGGGCGAGGTTTGTGGCCTGCAGCGTGTTCATGGTCAACAGGGGAACGGTGGAAGCAACCATGTACCACCAACAGAGCAGGCCAGCCACCACCAGAACAGCAGACTGCAGCAGCCAAACCAGCGGCCGCAGCACCCAAACAGAGGGCCCAGGCAGTACAGACAGCGGTCTCAGAGTGTGGGCATTCTTGCATTAACGGTGCATTCGCAGACGCCATAGACCCGAAGCTTCAATCACAAGTTGCACCCTGAACCCTAAACCGGAAACTAAACCCAAAACCCGAAACTAAACCCTAGTGAACGTTTGCACCCTCAAAATCCCTAAGGCTCCATGTACCCACATAGTAGGCACTTGGGCCTTAAAGGGGCCCCTATATGGGTACTTTAAGGCCTACGTACCTGCTATATGGGTACATGGAGCCTTTGGGAATGCCAATCCTAAATACTGCAGACGGCTTGAACTCGAACCCCCACAAACCCCAAAACACAGCAGCGGCGACCCCTTCGAACCTCCGAAAGCTTAAACCCTAAACCCTAAAAAACCCTAAAAGCTTTAAGCCCTAAACCTAAATCCTAAAGCCTAGTTAAACCCTAAAAGCCCTAAGCCCTAAGCCCTAAGCCTAAAGCCCTAAACTCCGAACCGCAATTTGTGACCGCAGCTGTTTTGTTCCAGTTTTCCCCGCCTGCAGCGTAGAGCGAACCCAGTGCAGGCGAAGAAAGCGAGAAGTCAACTGACCTTGCGGGTTTAGGGCTTTTAGGGCTTTTGGGGCTTTTAGGGTTTAGGGTTTATGATTTAGGAGGGTTTTTAGGTTTTAGGGTTCAGCCTTGAAAGTAGGAGTTCTTTTTTCTTCTTTGTTGCTCACTTCTACTATGCATCCTTATAAGGTCTCTGAACCAAGCCTACCTTAACCCTAAACCCTAGCCTATGTTCCTTTACCAGCCAGGCCCTTTGGCCTTGCGGCTCTAAACCCCTTCGCTTACCACGGCTCGGGATTTGCCTGCAAGATCCAAACATCCCCATCCTCGCAGCAATTGGCGCATGGACGGGTTGAAGGTTTAGGGGCATATCTTCAGTTGTTTTCAATTCGTCACACTACAGTGGACACAACACTACTGTTTTATGGGTCTTCATTAGCTTCGCACATTTCGCTTGTCGTTTGGCACTTTCTCTGCTGCTCCTGCGTCATGCAAAAACTTATGTGTATATGTATGTCCATATGCACACATTTATACATAATTACATTTGTTCATATTTGTATGTATGTATATATATATATATATGTTTACATATATATATATATATATGAACAATTCACATACAACATGTATATGCGCTCGTTGATTTACTTGTTCATGTATGTAGGCGCTGATCTGAATCCTGGCTAGTGACCCGACCGCTTATCCATCGCCTGCACCGGGGAGGGCCTTTGCGCATAGGCGGTTTCCTTCGGGTCCTGACGGGTCTAGGAGGTTTAGGGTTTAGGGAGGTTTAGTCTCTAGGGCTCAGGGTCCGTAGCATGATCGATCCTGGTGTAGAGTTCGACGGATATTCTTGGCGATTTCTTAATGTATTTCGTGCATGTTTCAGGCCTTATTGGGTATCAGGCTCAGGGCAGGAGGTTGCAGACCCAGTGGCTTTGTAAACGCGGTCTACGTTCAGCAGTCCTCGGAAGCACAGTCGCTGGTGGATGATGGCAGCGACTGGACAGCACTCTTGCCGGAAGTGCAGACTCTGTTTGTTTGTTTGTTATGCACAGCAGTGGATTTGTACGAAATGTTGGTTGTGTTCTTGTTCCCGGCGGTTTCCGTTTGTATGTAACCCAACTTGCTTCAAAGTACAAACACTATTTGTCTGGAACCCTTAACCCTGAACCCTCGCTGAAGCTTTGCATCGAATGTCTAAAGCTAAAGGTGTTTTGAATTCGCTGAGGAACCGGACACATGTGCCCTGTGCCCGAAAGGACCAAGCACCTAATAATCATATACTCTCCAAAATCCTAACCTACATAACTACTATCCTAAAACCGAGTGCCGAATTATTGGGTCCTTTGGACACTTAGGGTGTGCCCCAAAGCCTCGTCGTTTTTGAACACGCAGTGTTATGTCCGAATCCCCGAAGCCTCGATCCACCCTACAGCAAGGGGTCCTTTGCGAGTTCCTATCAGGATTATGCATAAGGGTTTCCGTAAACGGGTCCGAGGACCTGCTAATCACGCAATGCCTGCCCCCTTCACAAAATAAAGCAAGCAAGCAATGAACATCAATGGAAGAGTTGACTTTTTGGAAATTACGAGGAACTTGTAGGGCTACACTCTATGTGTGTGGGGATATTCAGTAGAATCACCTAGAAATCTTAAACCCCTAATACCCCTCATACTCAGTTTTACCACCTATAAAGCACTACGCCATAGTAGCCTTTTAGAGCTCAGTGGAAGTAGTTAATAATGGTAGCATATGGGGAGCCTCTCGGTACTAAAGGGTCCTATGCTAGGGTCAGCTTCAAAAGGTACGGAGGGCTGCTACATCATTGTCCCTTTCAAGGGAGCCCTTGAAGGAACCCTTAAACCCTCAAACATAATCCCGTAAAGGGAGCTCTTAAAGGAAGGCCTAAACCCTAAATACCCTTAGATACCTTAAAAGGAGCCCGTAAAGGAACGCATTCAAGTCAATGACGCCCAGACCTTCCAACATCCCTTAATTCAGGAAGATACCTTAAATCATACACGCTTGGTTCGCACAGCACGATCCGGCGCCGTCACACGCAAGCCGCCGTTTCCGCTGTATCCGCCGCCCCACACGCTGCCGCCGTCGCACACACACGCTGCGTTACTGTTACGCACGCCTCGCCGCGAGGGTCGCAGCATCAAGCAAGCTGGCGCCGAAAGCCGAAAGTAGGTTGCTGCCGCCACTGCGATATCGCAGTATGGCAGCAGTCTCGCAGCCGCCGGTGCTGCCACCGCCACCTGCAGCTTCCCTTCGACATCCACGGATTGGGTGCAAGCCCACCGCCGAACCCACGCCGAAACGCACGATAGTGTCAACGCCCGCCATTTGGAACCCTCAAGAACCCTGCCAACACAGGTGATATGTGAAGTGCATTTGATAAAAATACGACCCCACCCACTTATTGATGTAGTCCAATCAACAGCTCTGGCTTTGCCATCCGTTGTGACATGTTCAATAACTTACATATCATGTAACGACATCAACCATCACCTTGATGTCGTTAAACGGCTTTGACAGCGCTGTATCAAACTCAAAAGTTTGAAGGCTCGCGGAATCACCAAAATCACTGGCTGGGCTGTTTCTGCTTGCAAAACATGTTTTTTGAAAAGGTTTTCCGGTCTTTACACAATAATGAAAGCATGAATGCGAGGCTCTAGACTGTGAAACTAGATGGTTTTACTGTTTTTCTCAATAACAACCCGGGGACCAGTGCAGCAGACCTAAAACTCCAATGTCTGTCTGACAACGCGCACTAGCAGCAAAGGAACAGAAGCTGCACGTCTGCAGAAAAACAGGCAGCAGCAGTATGTGCAGCCGATGGTTGCGAAAACACACACATGTGTGTTCACCCAAATCACGGCACGTGCTGCGAAACCAGAGCCCCACCCTCGCCTAGCGAGACCTCTGGCACGCTTTGAAACAGAGCTGGCCGCTAGCATCCCAAGCGATTTTATGCACTGCCTTGAAGAGTTGGAAGGTTGTGCAGGGCCGAGGGGTTCTCGGTTAACTTGAGAACGCGCATCATGAAAATACCAACACAACGGTTCCTCGCAGCATGCTTTCACGAATCCCGCACGGGGTTGCGGCAAACATTTTCTTCTGCGAGCAATCATTTTGCTCAACAGCACACGTGCTTCGCGCTCCTTCGTTCCCTACGCGCTTGCGTGCCCCTATAAGACACTGCTGCCCTTGCTAGCTCTCGCGCGTTTGTCGCTTCTGTTCTGAATCGGTCACCCAGGTTTTGCGGCAAACATGGCGCAGAAAGACGAGTATGTAGCCTTGGAGGAAGAACTCGCTCCTTCCTGTATACGGCGTGCTTGACGTTGTCCCCGATGCACAAGCTCCGATCCAAGTGGTCACGGCAGCGCAGGCCGAGCCCGAGACAGACCCGGAAGCGGAGGCTTTGCAGTGGACCGGATGCTCTTGCAACCACTGCTTGGAGTTTATGCGGCTATTCAAGAGCTGCGGCGGCTGCTTTCGCGGCAGCCGTGCGCATGCTTCTGATTGCACGCTGGAAAAGTTCCGCATTCGGTTTAAAACAATGGCGGGTTGTGTTGCAGCAGTATTTGCAAAAGCTGGCGCACGGCAATTTGGAGGTTTTGGACCCGCAGACTGTCATCGACCAGGCGCAGAAAGATGCCGAGCTTCAGCTTGTTGGAAGGTTTATTTGCCATACATTGGCCAATATGTTTGGAAAACTCAGCTAGGAGGCCTTTCTTCCGCCATACAACGGTCCAAGGAACAAATCCCGAAGGACAAATACAAGGAGGAGCAACAGCAGCGTGCCAACGATCGACCTTCTGCCAGGCAGGATAGGCAGAGACAGCGGCACGATAGACCAAGGAACGGCTTCGGCGCGAGCTCAAGGAGGAGCTTCGCGCAGAGCTGCTGCAAGAATTTCGGCGTGCGCCGAAAATGGAGGCGAAGCAGGAGCCCAAGCAGGAGGTCAAGAACAAACTAGAAGAGCTCCCGTCCACCACTCGCCGGAAGCTTAGGAAGCGTGCGGCTTCGGCTGCTCCGCATGACCCAGCTGCGCTGGTTTTGCCAATTGCCTCGCCAGCCCCGGATGACCGGCCCAGCAGCCCCGGCCAGCGGGCACCGCCGCCCAAGGCTTTCTGCTCCTCCGGCGCCTGCCCCGGCCGCCCCGTCCGGTGCGGCGGATCCTGCACGGCTGCGCCTGTCGGCGGCATTGCTCCGCGTGCCTCTCCGGCCCCCTTTGGCGGCACGAAGGCGGCGCAGCACCGCCGAGATTACGATCTCTTGGAGCGGAAGGATCCCAGTGATTTCAACAACACGGGTGCTGAGCCTTACTTCAAGTGCCCACAATGCGGCCGCAACACCTGCCGTTGGCAGACGTTTTACAGCAACAAACATCACTGCCAGTTGCTCTGGGCGAGGTGCTCGGCCTACGACTCTCTGCATGACGCTTTTGTTTGCAAATTCTTTGCATATCACCCCCGTAACCTGACGACCATTCGCCGAGGGGTGAGTGGCTCCACGGTTGTGCTGGATCCATAAGCGACCAGCACGGGGGATGAGAATGATTTGGACGACACCGTCCACAGTTTTGCCTGGTGCTAAAAATGTCCCCCCCGTCAGGACGTAATTGTGCGGCGTGTATCCACCGTGACGGCGTCGCTTCTTGCGGCAGACGTTGTTTTGTGTGGTTTCGACTGTTGATGGTCCTATCCGTCATGGCTCGTGATGATGATTATGATCCTCAAGACTATGATGGTGATGACCTGGCTGTAGGATGAAAGACGACTTGGTTGCCCAGCTTTGTCGCAGGCACAGGTCTCAAACGAAACATCGCGTGTGATTCTGACGCAGAGCTTGTTCCTAGCTCATAACCCGCATCACATATATCAATCCACATGCTGTTCACTGCTCACGTACCACGGACCAGAAATCGGATCTTCGATCCTAGCACGGAAAAAATTCACTGCCGATCGTAGCACGGCATATTATCTGACCCTCGATCATGTAATAAAAAGACATTCTGATCTTAGCACGCAAAAAAAATCGATCTGGCACGGAATAAAAATGTTTGATGTCCGATGGGTTACACACCCGCAGTAGACAGGGAATGCTAGGCAATACTTCGTATGTTTATTTCAATTTCCAAATGTTTGCGTCGTAGTAAACACGGATTTTTAAGCCATTTTTCGTATAATTAGTTCTCTTTGACGGAGTTCCCTGCGCAGTAGATAAAGACTATTAGGCAATATACTTCGTATGATTACTTCAGTTGTAGAGGGTTTGCGTCGCAGTAGACCAGAAATATTAGGCAATACTTCACATGATTATTGTAGTTTTGCTGGGTTTCTGTCGCAGTAAACAGGGAATACTAGGCAGTACTTCGTATGATTATTTCAATTTTACGGTGTTCTCATCGCAGTAGACAACCGTTTGCATTTTGGTGGGCTCTGGGTCAGACAATTTGTCAGACAGAGGGATACTATCCTGCTATTCTTGTGTCCACATTGCGATGACCATATTTGGAATAAGGAAACACAAACATCATACAAATAATCTTGTTCAGCATTGCAAGCAGCTCATGCTTTTAGCATATTGCGGTCGCTTTACACGCTCTGGAAATCAGACGATGCCGATGCGGATGCTGATGCCCATGGTAGTGATGAAGATGAAGACGATGACGATAACCACGACGACGATGACGATGACCATACTCATGAGAATGATGACGATGACGATGATGATGATGCTGATAACGATGACGGTGAGAGATGACAAAGATGATGAAGATGATGACGATGATGATGAAACTCAGTCGCAGTCGCAGTTTCACTATCACTGCCATTTTGTTTTCTCTCTCTCTCTCTCTTTCTCTCTTTCTCTCTTTCTCTCTCTCTCTCTCTCTCTCTCTCTCCGTTGCCGTCACAGTCGCACTCCCCTTCAACCTCGTTCTCACCTTCATTTTCATTTCCACCTTCATTCTCATCTTCCGCATCCTCACTTTTATTTTTTAAATTTTACCTTCAGTCGCAGACGCAGTCGCACCCTCAGTCTTTCTTGCACTTTCACTGTCACTCCCACTCCCAGCCGCAGTCGCAGTCGAACTCGCACTCCCACTTTCAACGTTCACTCTCACTCTCATTCGCACTAGCACGTTCAGCAGCTTCATTTTCATTGTCACTCCCGCTCTCAGTCGCACGTTCCGTGTCAGTTTCATTTTCGTTTTCATGAGTCCAAATTAAAATTTACGGCAGATTTCTTAATTAACGAAGGATTTTGGAAGTTTTGGGACCATTGAGTACACTAAACTCTTCTAGAACCTAGATAGACTAAATAGATCCGCTAAAGGAACCCAAAGACTCTAAACCCTAAAACCCTATACCCTCATAAGCCCGAAAACCCGAAACCCTAAAACCCTAAAGCCTTAAAACCCTATACCCTAAAACCGCAAAACCCTAAACCCTAAATCCCTAAAGCCCTAAAAACCCTAAACCCTACATCCCTAAAGCCCTAAAACCCCTAAACCCCTGAAAGGAACCCTATGAGGTGAGAATGCGCTGCAGCGCCCGTCGGGTTCTTTCGGCCGGGCAGAAGGAGGCGAAGATCAAGGCAAGCCCTGGTGGTTTAGGGGTTAGGGGCTCCTTTAAAAGGGATCTGTAGGGTTCCTCTATGGCTTCCTTTAAAGGGTTTAGGGTAAGGTTTCGTGTTTAGGGGTTTGGGGGTTGGGGGTTTTGGGGGTTTTAGGGTTTGGGGTTTAGGGGTTAGGGGTTTGGGGTTTAGTGGTTTAGGGTGTCTTTAAGGTTTAGGGTCTTAGGGTTTCTGGGTTTTTAGGGTTTAGGGTACAGGGCTTAAGTACACCTTAAACCCTATACGGGTGATGATACAAACCCTGCATTATCCATAATAAGGAGTATATGGGAATTATGCGATTTTCCCCATTATGGGAAATGCAGGATTTATATCATCAACCCTATTTCGAGTTTTGGGCTTTAGGGTTTAGGGTTGAGGGTCTTGGGGCTTTAAGGGTTTCTATAAGGGTTCCTTTAAAGGTTCCCGTCCGGGTTCCTGCAAGGGTTCCTTTAAGGGTTTATATAATTAATTATTGGGTCATTTGGATCCCTTGGGTGAAGTTTAGGGGTCTATCATTTAGGCGTCCCTTACGATGTTCGTGACAAGAGCTTCTTTTCCAGGATTCCTTTATATAAGGTTTTCTATAACTAAGGTTTCTATACGGGTTCTTCTAGTGTTGGGTTCCTTCAGGGGTTCCTTTCAGGATTGCTTTAAGTGTTTCCTGAAGGGTCTCTATAAGGATTCTTTTACGGGTTCCTATAAGGATTCCTATAGTATACGGGTTTCGGCTTAGGGTTTAGAGTTTAGGGGGTTTGGGGCCTGGGGTTTGGGGATTTGGGCGGTGGTCTAAATTCAGACTCAGATCCTTTTTCGGCCCGTTTTCAGCATGGTGCCGTACTGTTTCGAATCGTTCCAAACATCGCTGAGATGAACTGTAGAAAAGCAGCACGTGATATAATCTTGTCAAGATCCTGTTCAGGATGACCTGCCCTGGACGTTGCTGCCTGTGTGTGGACTGGGTGTTTTGGTGATCATAGGGTCGAAACCTTACATGTATGAACCCCAACATAGAAGCCTGGACATTAAGTTGGCAATATTATTCACCATTTGTCAGGCCCCTGCTATACTTGAACTATGACATAGCCCCCATGCCCAATCTAAGCTAGGAAGACGCTCATATAATCGTCGGAAGTTGTGTCGTACCATTGTCGGCGAAGGGAACCGTGCAGTAGCCGTTGAGGTGAATCCTGCGTCTATTGGGTTGGGGCATGAGTTTGTGAATCATCGTGTTGTGTCGGGTCCGCATGTGTGCGTGCTTATGCACTGTCTGTTTTGTCTGCAAACGACGTAGCCTTGCATACATATGTGCACACGTCGCGCAGTTCACGCTTCATGTTTTTATCTCGGTGACAACTTCGTCGTAGCATGGACATGAAGACTGTGGTGCTGTGCTGTGATGGTGCTGTGCCGTGTGAAATGTATTCCACGGCATTCGATTGGATAGAATTCGATTGCGTAGTATTGTGTAGTTTTGTATTTTGCTGCATTGTGCGTTCGCTATTGCATTGTATGCAGGTACGTGTGTATGCAGAAACGTGTATACATATTTATACATATTTTGACATATATATATATATTTATTTATATTTGTATTTATATGTATATACATATGCACACGTGTGTGTGTGTGTGAACGTATGTGCATGCGTAGATACATATTATATATATATGTGCCCGATACCTTTAGGGTCTATATAACCGAGGTTTGTTGTCTTCAGCACATAATGGAAAGCAAAATGTAAGGTATAAGCACAGCCCACATTACAAAGCCACGACCTGAAAAGTTTCGGATCGACTAGGCTATATTTTTCTATCAAGTAATTATAGCAAATTACTCGCATTCAGGGAGACGAGTATTATATAAACAGAACATCGAGTGTTGATCCCAACACTGTCGATGAATAAACATATGAGTTGTGATGACATTTTCAGTGTATAGAGTCCATACATCTTGCAGGAATGATGTATCGTCGTGAAGATATGCATAGCACTGTCAGCAGTATATCGGCAACATGGACAAATTGTCCTGTCCAAATATTTCACAATTCGACTTATTGTTGACTTGCCAGCGCTTGAGTAATTGCATACGACATATCCATCCAAGAATCACGTAATAAGCATGCACGCTGTAATATGGCATAAATTTGTTTGTAATTTCCGCACAGGCCAGAATGCAAAACCTGACAGGTTCGGTACTCATGAATCGGATGTGTTTATATGACAAATTATGGGAATACATACGGCATGACACATCCATATCACATGATGTAACACTTTACAGGGCATGTAATGTGCCAATCTGTTATGTCCTGGACTTTCCAATGTATAAGTTCCTTGTCAGTAGAGGGTCAATCGGAGTGGGTGGAGTGACACATTAGGGTGCCTGTAATATGTCAATTTGATATGCCCAGGCACAGGGGCCTGACAGTGTATAAGTTCCTTGTTAGTAGGGTTTCAGTAGGAGAAATGGAGTGACACATTAGAGGGCATGTAATATGTCAATTTGCCCAGTCCAGGACCCAGGAAGTGAAGATACACATTATAGTGGGTTTAATGTGCCAGTTTGTTATGTCCATAAAAAGTGCTTTCCGATGTATGAAAATTATCAGTAGGGTTTCAATGGGATGGAGCGACACATTATAGGGCCTGCAGTGTGTCAGTTTATTATGTCCAGGGGTTTTCCACTGGAAAAGTTCCATTGCAATAGAGGTTCCATAGGAGGGAGTGGAGTGACACATTAGAGGGCCTGTAATGCGTCAATTTATACTACCCAGAGGCCTTCCAATATACAGATGCCCTACAGTGTATAAGTTCCTTGCCTTTAAGGTTTCAATAGGAATAATGACACATTAGAAGGCCTGTAATGTGTCAGTTTGTTTTCCCATGTGCATTCCAATGTATTTCTATACATATCACATCTGATGTGATCACAGCATTAGCCAAGAAGGATATCACGTAGTTAATAGTCTTCACGAACTTAACAAAGGCGCAATTATCCGTATCGAAGGTATACATTCCCATGAAGAATCCCTATAGATCCCTTCACAGATCCCTTGTATGGAGCCCTCATAGACAGCCTTTATAGATTCGTATAGAAACTTTATAGATCCCCTATATAGAGAACTTGTAGAAACCCCGTATAGATCAACAAATGGAGTTCTTTGTAGAAAACTTTACAAGATCCCTTACATGGAGCTTTCATAGACAACTGCTATATTTTCCTTACCCTTTGTAGAAACCACATGGAAGCCCTGTATAGATCCCTCGTATGGAGCCCTTCTGGAAAACCCTTACAGATTGCTTCTAGAAATCTTATAGATCCTCTATGTAGAGACCTTATATAAATCCATTATATAAAAACTATAGATCCCTTACTGAGAGACTTTCTAGAAACCCATTATGGATCCCTCATATGGGGCCTTTATAGTAAGCCCGGTTACAAAGTATGTAGATGCGATGTGGTAAGCTATTCTTGATATAGTAGTTAAGATAAATCGATTGTATTATGGTTCGTACAATACCTATGAAATTACTTTTAAGAATAGAGGGAGCGGCATTAAAACCAATGAAACCGGCAACGAAGATGATGAAGATGATGTAGATGATACAGATGATGAAGATGATGAAGATAATGGAGATGATGAAGATGATGAAGATGATGGAGATGATGGAGATGATGGAGATGATGAAGATGATGAAGATGATGGAAATGATGGAGATGATGGAGATGAAGAAGATGATGGGGGTGATGGAGATGGCAGGGGGCAGGGGGCAAATGGCAAAGGGAGGGAAAGGTGAGGAGGTGGGGAAGGCAGGGATGGTAGGAGAGGGGGCAAGGGAACAGGGGGAGGCCTGAAATGTGTCATGCTTCTTTCTGTAAGGCGGAAAAGATGACACATTTCCGGCCTGAAATGTGTCATGCTTCTTTCTGTAAGGCGGAAAAGATGACACATTTCCGGCCTGAAATGTGTCATGCTTCTTTCTGTAAGGCGGAAACGATGACACATTTCCGGCCTGAAATGTGTCATGCTTCCTTCTGTAAGGCGGAAACGATGACACATTTCCGGCCTGAAATGTGTCATGCTTCTTTCTGTAAGGCGGAAACGATGACACATTTCCGGCCTGAAATGTGTCATGCTTCTTTCTGTAAGGCGGAAACGATGACACATTTCCGGCCTGAAATGTGTCATGCTTCCTTCTGTAAGGCGGAAAAGATGACACATTTCCGGCCTGAAATGTGTCATGCTTCTTTCTGTAAGGCGGAAACGATGACACATTTCCGGCCTGAAATGTGTCATGCTTCTTTCTGTAAGGCGGAAAAGATGACACATTTCCGGCCTGAAATGTGTCATGCTTCTTTCTGTAAGGCGGAAAAGATGACACATTTCCGGCCTGAAATGTGTCATGCTTCCTTCTGTAAGGCGGAAACGATGACACATTTCCGGCCTGAAATGTGTCATGCTTCCTTCTGTAAGGCGGAAAAGATGACACATTTCCGGCCTGAAATGTGTCATGCTTCTTTCTGTAAGGCGGAAACGATGACACATTTCCGGCCTGAAATGTGTCATGCTTCTTTCTGTAAGGCGGAAAAGATGACACATTTCCGCCCTGAAATGTGTCCCTAAACCCTAAACCCCGGAGCCCAAACCCTAGGCCCTAAACCCTAAAGTCCAAACGCTAGGCCCTAAACCCTATAGCCCAAACCCTAGGCCCTAAACCCTAAACCCTAGGCCCTAAACCCTAAAGCCACTCTAAAGCCTAAACCCTAGGCCCTAAACCCTAAAGCCCAAACCCTAGGCCCTAAACCCTAAAGCTCAAACCCTAGGCCCTAAACCCTATAGCCTAAACACTAGGCCCTAAACCCTATAGCCCAAACCCTAGGCCCTAAACCCTAAAGCCAGCCCATTCGAAAACCTAGCTGAACACTGGTCCCAGCCAGCGGCCCAGCCTGCCCATTCGAAAACCTAGCTGAGGGAGGGTGGGATGGGGTGGATGGTGGGCGGTTTGGGGGGGTGAGGGTGTTTGGGGGTTGGGGGGAAGGGGAGTTCGGGGCCAAGGGGGGGGAGGAGAAAGGAGGCAAGGGGACGGGGGGAGATGGGGGGGGGCGGAACAAGGGAGGGGAGGCAGGGGGTGGTGGGGGGGGAGGGCCTGGGACCTAAACCGTGTTGGTCCAGAACAACCATCGATTTCAATTATTTAAATCCGCCGGGCTCTTTTGCGGATTTAAATAATTGAAATAATTGAAATCCGAAGGTTCGATGAGCCCGAGCCACCAAATCCAGGGATTTGAATTATTTAAATAATTGAAATAATTGAAATAATTGAAATGGAGGCGATTTCAATTATTTCAATTATTTCAATTATTTGGGCCCTTTGGCGGATTTAAATAATTGAAACAATTGAAATCGGCTGGATTTCAATTATTTCAATTATTTCAATTATTTAAATAATTCAAATCGGTGGGATTTGTGGCTTGGCCCAGAGCAACCATCGATGTCAATTATTTCAATTATTTAAATCCGCCGGGCTCTTTTGCGGATTTAAATAATTGAAATAATTGAAATCCGAAGGTTCGATGGGCCCAAGCCACCAAATCCGGGAATTTGAATTATTTAAATAATTGAAATAATTGAAATAATTGAAATGGGGCGCGATTTCAACTATTTCAATTATTTGGGCCCTTTGGCGGATTTAAATAATTGAAACAATTGAAACCGGCTGGATTTCAATTATTTCAATTATTTAAATAATTCAAATCGGTGGGATTCGTGGCTTGGCCCAGAACAACCATCGATTTCAATTATTTCAATTATTTAAATCCGCCGGGCTCTTTTGCGGATTTAAATAATTGAAATAATTGAAATCCGAAGGTTCGATGGGCCCAAGCCACCAAATCCGGGAATTTGAATTATTTAAATAATTGAAATAATTGAAATAATTGAAATGGGGCGCGATTTCAACTATTTCAATTATTTGGGCCCTTTGGCGGATTTAAATAATTGAAACAATTGAAACCGGCTGGATTTCAATTATTTCAATTATTTAAATAATTCAAATCGGTGGGATTCGTGGCTTGGCCCAGAACAACCATCGATTTCAATTATTTCAATTATTTAAATGCGCCGGGCTCTTTTGCGGATTTAAATAATTGAAATAATTGAAATCCGAAGGTTCGATGGGCCCAAGCCACCAAATCCGGGGATTTCAATTATTTAAATAATTGAAATAATTGAAATGGAGGCGATTTCAATTATTTCAATTATTCGGGCCCTTTGGCGGATTTAAATAATTGAAATAATTAAAATCGGCCGGATTTCAATTATTTCAATTATTTCAATTATTTAAATAATTCAAATCTGTGGGATTCGTGGCTTGGCCCAGAACAAGCATCGATTTCAATTATTTCAATTATTTAAATCCGCCGGGCTCTTTTGCGGATTTAAATAATTGAAATAATTGAAATCAACTCTGCTGATTTAAATTATTTCAATTATTTCAATTATTTAAAATAATAGTAGTCATACAGAAAAGAATAGAGCGTAAAATAGAGGCGCCTCTCTCATATATATATATATATATGTATATATATATATATGCGTGTGTATGCTCATGTACATGTAGATGTGAATGTGTAATTATGTAAGGGTCTATGTATATGTATGTGTATACGTACGTGTATATGTATGTGTCTGCATGGATGAACCTTTGCTGTAGTCTGTGTATGTGTGTATGCATTGTGTGTAAGTTTTGTCATGTCATGTCACGTTACTTCGTTTGTACGCGATGTGAGTCATGAAATCGTGATGTACGCCATGTATATCACGTCATGAGAAAGTTGTTCGTGTTTACACTAGCATCACTGCAAGTAAGCAAGTATGTATGCACATATTTACTTATATATGTATGCAGGTTATCTTGGAATGTTTGTATATGTAGGCATGTCTGTGTGTGTGTATGTACGTATATATGTACTATGCCTCTTTCGGCATGTATGTACGGATGTATGCACGTGCTTGTATGTCTGTGTATGTCTGTCTATGTATGTACGTTTACATATATGTGCGTATGCATATTTGTATGTATGTATGCACTTATGTACGCATGTACGTATCTATGTACGTATGTATGTAGATATGTATGTATATGCATATGCACAGCAGCTACGTGTGGATGGATGGACGGTTATGGACTTTTCTATCTATGTTTCTATCTCTATCTGATTATCTATCTGCCTATGCTATGTATGTCGTACAAGCCATGCATGTAGTTGTGCACGCAGGTATGTAGCTATGTGGGTTCGTATCTACTGTATGTACGTATGTGTGCATGTACGTATGCCCTCAGGTATGCACGCATGCATGTATATGCACGTATGGACGTACGTGCAGTCTGTATGTAATTGTTCATGCTCTTTGTGTGCTTATTAATGATTAATGTTTGTGCCTGCATGTTTGCATGTATGTCTTGTCCCTCGACTTATGCCATTGTATGCATGTGCAGGTGTGTGTATGTACACATGTATGCTTAAGATGGTTGTATATGTATGCATGCATGTATGTATGCATGCATGTATGCATGTATGTACGTATATGCATATGTATATGTATACGTATATGTTTATGTCGTACATGTCTATGCATTTGCATTTGCATATGCTTGCATGCATGCATTTATCTAGGTATGTGTGTATGTATGCTTGTCTAGTGGTGTGTATGTTCGCAGGTATGAACTTTATCATATGTACGAAACACAGATACATGTGTACGTTTGTATTTGTATATGAACTCATGCATGCTTGCATGGCTGTCTGTCTGTCTGCCTGTCTGTCTGTGTATGTATGTATGTTATCATGTATGACTTGTTTATGTGTACTTTGCTTGCATGCATGTATACATGTGCTACTTAAGTTTATTCGCAGTTCTAGCCTGTCGCTAAGTTTTAGGCATTCTGTTCTCGTCAACGCCCTGGACGACGCCTGTTAGCTAGCTTACACCCAACAGCAGCGGCCTACATCTTGGGCTTTTGCAACGGGAGCTGCCAATCTTTCCCCGCATTACAAAGCCATCAAGGCCAAAGGCACGCGCTTGGAATCGAAATTTGACTGTCAGAAAACTTCAAGCCAAAATTGAAAACCTGAGACCCTGAAAGCCCTAGGGCTGAACCCCGAAGCCCAAGGCTGGCTCAAGTGGAACGGTTTAACTCGCAAATGTTATGCTTCGAGGGGTTTGTGGTGCAAACGCCCGAGTATCTGAATGTTTGGAGCCTGGTAGTGGGAAACCGATCCAGCTTTTTCTGCTTGGGTATTGGGACCTTGTGGGACACGACAGAGGTCACCGTAAAGGCGTCAAAGGTCGTGCTTTGCGGCTTGTTTCTCGCATTGAATAGTGCACCGGACTTCTATAAGGCTTAGAGCCCGATTGTTTTGAGAATGTTGCACCTGGGTTGCTGTGGATTTTGTGGGGTTTAACGCTCCACTAAAAAGAACGGTGAATAACAGTGCGGATAAGCTGTATTTATTCTCCGAAACCTTTTCATCTCAAGCTCCGTACATGGGGGGGCTTGGGTTCTTAGAGTGTCACTCCTGCATGCTCAGTACTTCGTGATAGCACGGCATGCGCCAAGCGGCATTCGCGAAGCATGTCACTCGAATGTTTACCACCCACAGTCTTCACAAGGCGAGCTTTCGCTAAATCAGTATTCCTCATTGATCGTTGCCGACTCCTGAACCCACCGACCAGAAACCAGCCTGGAGATGATAGATGTTTGTCGAGGAAGCAGAGCCGCGTTTGACATATGTTTTTTGACAAGCTTGAAGACTGGCAATAACGGAACAGTTGAGGAACAGCGAGTCCCGGTTCCGAAATTTCGATTTGCTGAGCTCAAGCCCAACATGCATTTTTGGCCCATGTTAGGCTGCATCTTGCCGGGAGGCTAGAATCCTTACCCTTTGCAAGCATGGCCCCTCAAGGCGGAGTAATGCAGATTAAAGTTTTTTTTATGGCTGTTCTTTAGAATCATGGCACTCCGTAGGGTCGCGTACGCCAGCTGCCGTGAACCCACAGACCCGACATCCTAGGAGCTTGAACACCTCGAGACAGTAGTATTCCGAGGTCCGGAATAAAACGATATGCTGCAACAATCCAAAGCCCACGTCTAACAAATTTGTGGCTCTTATATGAGAGGAGCTGGTGGAGCAAGCGGTTGCAGCGAAGGCCAATGCCCCCTGCAAGGCCTTGAAGAGGCAGGACGCAGCATTGCAAAATCCCACGAATGACAAACTATACTCCCCATATACAAGTTTTTAACCCACGCTGTACTCCTTAGCTGTACCCTCTGTCCTTGTCAGGTTTGGGCAGCGCAGTTTTTAACAATCTCAGTACGTCTTGATTTCATCCGTTCAGCCACGCCTATGTTGTCCTTGTCGTACAAACAAAGCCTGTAACAGAGCGGACCGAATGATTGGCAGCACTATCCCCAGCCCCGTACTGTCCCAACACATAAACATATAACTTTGCATTACTACCTTATCCTAATTAGAACTCTCATCTTGACTCATGTGGCCCTTGGCAAAGGCGGGTCTTCCAACGCGCGCGCAAAAAGCTGGCTCACCTGCTAACGCAGGAGGAGTTCGAAATCGCGGTGGCGACTTCGGCTGCAAGGGGTCTGCCTCACATGAAGTTTTGTGCCGTCATGCGTCCGCGAGCACATCATGCAGGATTCACGCTGCGAAAGTTTCACTTACCTGTAAACTGTAAACTTTAGTTGCAAGCACCGTGTACCTTTACCCAAAGGGTCTAAGCACCCAAATGGTAAGGTTTCAGGTCGTAAAATCCATACTCGGAATGGTTTTTGGACCTTGAAACCCTACTATTTGGGTATTTGGACCCTCTGGGTTAGGCAATATGAGGTCCTGTACGTACGAAGGCTCAAGCTGAGCATTCAGGCTTCAGTTTGTCTAAGGCTTGGGTTAGTCCCCTGATCCAGCAATGTCTTCTCTAGAACTGAAAAGAGAGTGATGTTCCATTCAGCGTGGTAGAACTATATTGATGAGCATGTTGTTCAATAGTGATACTTCGTTCTGTCTTCTATATTTATGCATCAACCGTTTAAGAACTTGACAACACCCGTAACGACCCCACAGACCTCTTGTCGAATCCTAAAAGCTTAGACCCTTCGGGGGACCTCTTGCAGAAGACTATACGACGGATATACGACCCTTTGCAAACCCCTCTAAAACCCAACGAAAAGCGAGGAAGGAAAAGGATCCTTTTAGAGCCTTGAAGGTATTCCTAACAAATGCATATCACGGTAAGCCGTCAGAGTAGCCTTTAAAGCACCCTTTCACCCACCTGCATACGCCTATAGAACCCTATGTTAAGCTCTGTAGAGAGAAGGCTGCAATCCTGCACTTTAAACATTCGTAAACCTTAAGGCCTGGACCCGAGTCGGCCCTAGACCTTGATTTTAGAAATCTCTAACAGGCCCCTTTTAAGGAACCCTTCAAAGGAGCCCTGTTCTAATTATTAAGTCTCAAGATGTATTCTGAACTTCGTAATAACCCAAAGCCCAAAGAGAAGCTCTAGCCCTAAACCCTAAAGAACCCCAAGGGAAACCCTAGAGCCGTCTGAGCTAGGCGCCTGAGACTGTAGAAGCGTTCTACCAGGTTCATGAGTACTCTAAGACTCTAAGTGTCCATGTATCCTATTAGTATATACATTGGCCCCAAAGTACCTATATAGCAGGGTCCTCTAGTTAACACCGAATAGTTGGAAAAAGTGTACCCTTGTTATATAAAGGGGCTACTCAGGAACCTAGTCTAGAACAAAAGGGGATCTCCACAAGGGAACCCCGAAACGGAACCCGTGAACCGTGAAGAATCCTCAAAGAGGAGCCTATACACCCTAAACCCAATCATAGGCTCCATATGCCGATATAGTATATACTGGGGCTCAAAGTGGTTCCCGTATAGGTACTTTGATGCCTAAGTACATACTAGATAGGTACGTGGGAGCCTTTTCTCCTAAACCCTATAGAACCTTGGATGGAACCCTTATGGTACCCTCAGAGGAGCCCTTGAAGAACCCTAGCGGCGCATGGAGCCTTAGGGAAATCTTACTTAGAGGGGTAGGGGACTTAGTAAGCAGGTTAGAAGTAGGGTTATAATTGGGGTAACTCCATGCAGGGTACTTATAACTCTACTTATAACCTACTTACTAAGTCCCCTGCCCCTCCAAGTAAGGGTCGCTAAAGCTCTGAGGAACGTCTGAAACAGTTTGACGAAGAGGCGGAGTTTTCTCCCCCTGCTCCTCGGGAACAGCAGATTGTAGCGTGCCTTGAAAAGGTTTCTTAAGGGTTCTCTTTGTGGTTCAAGGGTTCCTCTAAAGGTTCCGTGCAGGGTCTTTTAGGGTCCTTTTCAGGGTACTATGGGGTTTGAGAGTGAGGCTTTTCGTGATTCGGTACATGAACATATGTCTTGAGGGTGCAGCATCCAGAAACCCGCAGTACTACCAGCTGCCGGAAGTCGGTTTTGAAGTAAGTACGGTAAGCTACGGGTCAAAACGACCCGCTAGTTCGGCCTCAGAGGTATAAGGGATTTACCAAAGACTTTTCATGAGGACAGAAGCGGCTTTCCGGGGCTCCAAAGGGCCTACTTGGAGGGGCAGGGGACTTAGTAAGTAGGTTGCAAGTAGGGTCATAACTGGGGTAACTCCATTTAGGGTACTTATAACTCTACTTCTAACCTTCTTACTAAGTCCGCTGCCCCTCCAAGTAAGGATAATGTACTTTGGCTTCGGAGTAGTGGTTTTGAAGGCTAGCATTTGGGGGGAGTAGCTTCATGGTTGTCCGCGAGCTATTTCATGAGGTAGTCTGGACGTGGACCGTGGGTGTCTTTTCATATTGGATCCAGCAGGATTTGTGATGATTGGGTCCACGCATTGAGCTAGTACCTGATATCATTCAGAAGTACCAATACCCGTAAGATGTCAACAAATTGGCAACCTCGGCAGCAGGCAGGATGGTTGTTTCTATGCCCAATACCACACCTAGAAAGAGAGAGAGAGAGAGAGAGAGGCCCATTGCTTGCATCAGCTTTGGGATGTGGCCAAACTCTGCAGTGTGCAGCCTTTCAAGTTGAAACCGTGTCCTTGGAACATCGCTTCTTCCCCTTTGCTACTCTTCTTACGTGTTGCGAATCTCCGGAGAATTGCAATGAGTTTCAGCCCTGGGCTTCAACTCTCAACTATGGATAGAACAAGTTATTTTGGTGCCAGTCTTGAAGATAGTGGGAAACACCGACGCCGCTGGTGATGATGACTACAAGCTATAGAAAGATAACACTTTTGATGATGATGATGATTATGATGATGATGATGATGTTGATGTTGATGGTGATGATGACGATGGCAGCTGTAGTGGTGTTGAAATTCCGCAACTCGAATGTAGGGTCCCCGCAAAACGCTACGCCTTAAACCCTAAACCCATATAAACCTGAAGCCTAAAACCTTAACCCCAGCTTAGTCCCCCAAACTACCCTCTAATATACCCTAAACACCCACTATTAAGGACCATAAGGGCTAAATTACCGATAGGCTCCAAAGTAGTTCCTTTTTGGGGTTCATATATAAAGTTCTATATATGAACCCCAAAAAGGAACTACTTTGGGATGCTCCGCGAATCCCAGGCTGCCCACCCTTCCGAGATTTCGCGACCGCCACCTCAAGCGCCGCTCTGTGCCTCTGAAGCAGTCGTGCTCTTTGGTTCAGGGCATAAAATGAGGGCTTTTGAGGCGTATAGGGTTTAGGGGTGCCGTTAACGGCGTTAAAGGCACAATGATGAGGGCTTATATAGGGTTTAGGGCTGACAGTTTGGGGATCCAGCGCCGGGGCTTTGGGTTTCGGGGTTTGGCTTTTGGTTTTTATAGGTTGAGCCCTAGACCCTGAAAGCCTACAGCCTGAACCCCCAAAACCCTAAACCACAAACTCGACACCCCTTTATAGATCCCACTAAAGGATCCCTTATGGATCCCTTGAAGGGAACCCCCTATAGATCCCTTTGCGGGAACGCGAGCCTGAAGCCTCAGGCATGCCGCTACGCATCATCGCAGTGCCATTATTTGTGCCTGTGATGCCAGCCCAGGCGATACATCAGGACCTAGGATTTTTTAGTATGAAGAAATTGCTTTGTTAAGGTTTGCTTTACAGGGTTTCCTCAGGGGTTCTACAGCCCTAACTTTCTCAAATCGTATGAATAGTGATTCCAAGTAGACAAGCCCTACATTCTACTACGTAGGTACTTAGGACCTTTTGCGTCATTGATGTCATTGACCATACAGCCGACCATACAGGATTCCAATCCAACAGCCCGTGAGACGCCACTCACAGTCCAAACACAGTACCGTTTAGGTTTCCTTGTTATGGTTTATTTTTGGAGTTCCTCACAAAGGTCGTTTTTCTGAGCTACAGGCTACAGGTACTCTCCCACAGATTCGTACATTCATCACAATAAAGGGCTGTTGGGCTTGATGTTTAGCTTCAGCATTAAGCTCTACTCCCTAAGCCCTAAACCCAACCACATGGCCCTAAACCCTGAATCCTAAGCCAAAAGGGTGTTGGGATTGAAGTTTAGCGTTCAGAGTTTAGCATTCCGGGCTCCTTAAGCCTGGGACCTCCACAAGCTTGTAGGTTGCAATGCAGGACCCGTGTAGCCAAAATAGCCAGCCGTAAGCCCTAAAACCTTAAACCCCTAACCCCAATCGCTAAACCCGACAAAGACATAATTTGCACCTGAAGCTAAAGGCGTTGACCGGGACGAATGGAGGGCTTCGGTTATGCGTTGTCACTACCAGAACATATAGATGCCTGAGCGACTACCAATATTACTGCGCAGTCTTTAGGAATCTAAGTTTACAAGAATATCACCGAAAAGGGGTTTGGTTGTAGGATAGGTACGGTAACGTAGGTTTGTACTCGGTGATTGTTGGTCAATTTGATTGCAAGGGCTGAACCTAATCGGCCTTGACTCCCAAACCGTGAGCCCGAAACCTCACACCCGACACCTGCAATCCCGCACGGCACGGTAACGCCGACACCCCACACCGGTAGGCGAAAGCTGCAAAGACGAAGCTCTACGCCCTCAGTCCCAAACCCCATACTAAACCCTCACCTCGAAAGTCTTACATCGTAAATCCCAAACCTTCGGCCCTAAACCCAAACCCTCACTCTAAGTGCTAATCTCCACGAACCCTGAACCTCGAACCCCCACCTTGACCCTAACACACACCAAAGTGAACTAGGTATCCGTTTGGGATAATTTTTGATTTCCCTCATTGTTCAACACAGAGCTCTAGACATAAACATCGACAGCTAGACAACCACTGGAAAGGTCGGTAACTTGGTCCGAAGCCCTCAACCACCAAACCCCATAGTAAGGTCGTCAATTTGGGCTTCAGGTACCTAATTCAACACGCTTTCGGGGTTTAGGGGTTGTGGGTTTAGGGTTTATATCGCTGAACCCTAAAGCCTAAACCCTAAAACCCGCAATTGCCAACTTAAGTTCATCTCTTTGTCACTGTCCTAGTAGCCGAGTAGGTAACCTTTACCCTTTTTTGGGTAGTATAGTCCCTATATAATCCCTATATAGCCAAAAAGGTTAACCGTTAGTTTCCCATGATACCCTAAACCCCTAAACCCTGTACCCTAAACCCTAAACCCCTAAACCCACCCGAAACCCTAAACCCAACCCGACAAGTAGGTTGTGCTCATGCAGGAAGCAGCTCCCTTGGGTTCTCCAAGCTCGACACCGGAATACGAGCACCCTGGATGAGCTTAGAGTTTAGGGTCACTGGGGTGTAAGATTGAGGTCCAGTTCTATAGGAGATGTTACAAAATTCCACCAGATCTATACTGCAAGATTAAGCCGCCTACTGGTTTGGAAGTTTTTTTGGAGTGTTAGTCTTCTCTTTCCGGGATGTTGGGTGTTCTTTAAGGTTTTGGTCGTACTTTACGGAGTTTGAAGCAGGCTTTGCAAGGATTTGGGTTGCGGTGGCTGCAGATGTAAGGGTTGGGGGCTTCGGATACAGATGTAGTGTTCAGGGTTTAGAGAAGCAGGTTCTAGTTCAAACCTACACTCTCTTTGTATCATACGGTTTGGATTCTCGTGTGCTTGTCACTAGAACCTCACCATCAGGTGCTGGAGCACGAGCAGGGCTTAGATGGTGTAGGACGTGGGGGTTGATAGATGCTGGGTTTAGGGCTGGAAAGATACATTAGGGTTTGAAGATGCCCGGTTCTGGGAGATGTGGAGTCATGTTACAAGCCAACAAGCTTCGTGTTGACTTTCGCCTGCATGTACAAGCCACATGGCAGCTCGGCACCCTCCACACTCTGAGACAGTAATAGAAGGGACGGCGAGTTTTCTTCCTGGTGGTGTGGTTAACGTCAGTGTTGCTTCTGCTGCTGCACCAACACTGGCAAAAACAGCAACATCGACGACGACGACATCAATGACGGCAGCAGCAGCAGCAGCAGCAGCAACAACAACAACAACAGCGACAGCCACCGCAACCGCAACTGCAACCACAACCACAAAGACGACAACCACAACGACGACAGCCACAACGACGACAGGCACAACAACGACAACCGCAACAACAACTGCAGCAACGACAAACCACGGCAACAGCAACAGCAGCAACATCAACAACAACACCGACACCAACTGCCACTGCGACGGTTCCTCAGGCACCAGCACCGGCACATGCACCTGTACCTGCACCAGCACCAGCATCAACAGCACCACCAGCAGCAGCACCACCACCACCCCCACCGCCACCACCACCGCCGCCACCACCGCCACCACCACTCAAAATACCAAGCCGATGTCGTTACCATATGGGTGGTTGTCAACATTAGAGTCCCTTTTTGGGTATCCTAAATATTAGGTGCCGTACTATAATAGGGACCCAAAAAGGGACCATAATTTTGACAACCACCCCTCTGTAAGCCTTGACACACCACTTCAGCCCTTGGCCTAAGCCCTATACTGAGGCCCAAAACCGCGAAGTCTCCGTCTCTCCCTGCATGGAGGGTTCGGCGCAAACACTATATCCTTGCCCTTAAACCCCACAAGCCCCAAGATCGAGGGCTGTGGATCAGCCTTCAGCTTCTCACGGTGGCTTTATGCTGCCACTGCCACCCGTGGAGGAGGCCGTCTGATTGAGGCTTCCGGGTCTGAAGGGCAAGGCTCGGTTAAGGGTTTAGGGTGGTGTAAGGGGTGGAGGTTGCATTGACTTCGGGTGCCACGGTATCTTCAGGGTTCAGGGCTGATGGTCCCATCACCTAAAAGACAAGAAGGAGTTGTGGGCAGTGAGGATTACCTTCTCGGCATTGCTACAAGAGTTGCCTGCAGCCAGCAAAGTAAGACCCGAATGCTTAAGTATTGAGTTGCAATCCCACAAGCCCACATCCCTGAACCCCAAACCCAGCCTTCCTTACAAGGCCTTAACTTGCAGTGGCCTCATGTTTTGTGTAGAACCCCTGGAAAGGAGCCCCCCACGAAAGCTCGGAAAGAGATAAACCCAGTCCATTAAGACCCTTATAGAAACTCTACAGGAACCCTTAAACCAACACTTAAAGGCACCCTAAAGGGAACCCTTAAACTTAAAGGAGTGTTTAAAGGAAGCCTGAAAGTTCCTGCAGCTGCATGGGAACCGCTAGAAGGGAGCTCCCCCGAGGGCTCTACCCGAAGCCCTGCAAAAACCCTAAACCCCTAAATCCCAAACCCCTATACCCTAACCCTAAATCCTAAACCCTAAACCATAACCCTAAATCCTAACCTAACCCTAGATCCTAAACCCCTAAACCCTGACCCTAAATCCCTAAATCCTAAACCCTAAACCCTGACCCTAGATCTTAAACCCTGACCCTAAACCCTAAACCCTGAATTCGTAGGCTGAGACGCCCACCGCTGCGCGTTATTTCACGCTCGGGGAGTCGTCGAAAGCAACTCGGCTTGGTAGTGACGTGGAGTCTTAGGGGGTTCCTGTCAAGGGAACCAAAAAGGCCCTAAAGTTCCCTTAAAGGGGTCCTGCAAGAGTACTGTGATAGTTTGGGTTTAGGGTTTAGGGTTCTTATGGGGGTTCTATGAGGGTTAAGGGTAGTATGGGGTTCCTGAAAAAGTGCTAGAAGAGCTTGGGTTTAGGCTGCTGGTTCTTATAGGGGTTCCATAAGGCTTAAGGGTATTGTGGGGTTCCTAGAAAGTTTCCTAACGGGCACTGTAGGGTTCCTATTATGAGGGCTGTAGAAGGGCATGGGGCCCGGTGCCGAGAAGAGATCGAGAAGGCTACTACGGTGGATCTTATAAATCCTGCATTGCCTTAGGGACCCTAAACTATGGGAATCATGGCTTATTCCTTGTTATGGGTAAAGCAGGAATTATATCATCAACTGTTTTCTACATGGTCTAGGGCTCAGGTTTGATTGTTTCGGGAGGATTCGGCTGAGGGTTGAGGCTTCATGGTCCCGAAACCCTGAACCTAAACCGATGGTGTGGGTTTGTTGCTTTTCCGTTGGCCTTCAACAATGGGCCAAGGCTTGCAAAAGAAAAATACGTCAATGACTGAACATCTGCTCGTTTTTGCTAACATTAATACCGGGGTCATAACAATGAGAATAGGGTTTGGGGGCATATTATACTTTTGCCATAATAAGGAACTCCCCAAAAATAGTATTGGTAGTCATTTAGGCCCCTATAGTACTTTGGTTGCTCCAGGTCGGGTTTGTACGATGTAGCGCAGGGGTGCAATCAATCTCTTCCTTGGATTTGCGTCTTTGTGTCTGAACTCCTAAGCTCATCTAAACCCTCAACCCTTCACGTTAAACCTTCAGACACCAATCCGAAATCTTGTAAGATCCCTAAAGAGCTCTTCCTATACAGGGGCCTAATACTTACCAACACTATTTTATTAGAAGTATAGTAGAATGGGCCCCAAACCCTATCCTAATTATTAAGGCCCTTATATCACTGTAATGCCGCGGTACATATTATTTGGACAACGTACCCTCGAGGAGCAGAGGCCCAAATCCAGAAAAGGTCAGATGTGTTCCAGGGAGGCCAGGCGACGACACAATCGCTGCAGGAATATCTCACGAGTTTCACTAAAACCCAAAACCTTAAACCCCAAACCCTGCTAGAAGACCTCGAGCAACCTGCAGGTTGCCCCTCTCACTTTTGCTTCGGACTCCGAGATTCCGACGCCGCGCGCTGTGCACCTGGGATTTCAAAAAGGTAAGCCTGGGGTTCAGTTACCTGAACAGTAGGTTACTGTGGTAATTCTTTGGTCAGTAACCTACTATTTAGGTACCTGGAGCCCTACTTAGGGGTTACCCTGGGGTCCAAGTATTCTAGTGTTCTGTTTTGAGGATTTGTTATTAGTTTTGGCCAACTCCCCGGGGTCATTAGACATGGTTAAGTGTTTGATGAAGAAGTCCAGCGAGTTTGCCGTGAAGTGAAAGGAAATTGTGGCGTGCAACCTGAGAGAGATTTCAGACGAAGGGCCACGTGGAAGGCTGATGGTTCGTCCACAAAGGGTCCAAAGGACCCAATGGGTTCCTTTAAAGGGGTCTACAAGGGGCTACTACAATGGCTACTATAAGGGTTTTATACTACAGGGGCCTAATAATTAGGTACTCGGTTTTAGGATAGTAGTTATGTAGGTTAGGATTTTGGAGAGTATATGATTATTGGGTACTTGGACCCTTGGAGGTCCTGTGAACATTGGACAGCCATTGATTTTGAGCGTATGTCAGCGTCTGATACAAAGCCTCACACAGGGCATGGACCACCAGGTGAGAGAGTCAAGCTCAACAGGCGTGCAGCTCTGGAAGCTATATCATGGTCTGCCTTCGTTGATCGTCTGAAGAGTGAGATGGGACATATAGCAAAAGACACGGAAGAAGATCTACGGCCGCGTTGCAAAGGGCGGAATGCTTGGGGCTGGATCGACTCAGAGCTACATTAAGCAGCATCTGATTGCCTCAGAGCTGGAAGCCAAACTACGGCAAAGCGACGAGTTTGGTCATCCAGTCAATGACGGTGAAGGTGCACTGCGGCCTTTGCGTTTCATGTCAGCATTGAAGTAGTTTTCGTTGTATTTGGGTCTTTTTGATTGTATTTGGGTCTTTGTTATTTTGGCTGCTGGAATTCGACGGACAGTGCTGGGAAAGGAAAAAAATAAGCATGAAAACATAAAAAGACTCCCGCTCCTTAACACCCCACCCCCACCTGAGCACAATAAGTTCCCATCCTTAACATAACTTTCCCCTGAGGAAAAAACCACTGTCACTGGGGCTGATGCAGTGGCGTTGTTGTGCTGTGCGGATATCACATGTGTAGGTCTGCCGCTGTCAAAGTGGCCGTGACTGATTCTGCCGCTGCATAGTGGCCCCGTATGTTAGCCGCTGTGAGTGGCCGGTCTGAGCTCTGAATGTCGCATTACACCCATAAAAAAGACACACCTGTGCTGCGTATGCTGCGAGTTTTTGGCATGTTGCAGCACAGATCGACATGGCCAAAGCCCCAGTCTTGTTGAGCTGTGAGTGCGTGTGGATGTTTGCAGCAGCACAAATCGACAGGGCCAAAGCCCCAGTCTTTCTGAGTTGTGAGCGGCAAGTCTTAAGTGTGCCTGCCTGCCATCCTGAGCTGCACAGTTGATGTTCTTTTGGGGAGCTTTGACATCTTGGCAGCAGCCCCGGGCCTGCAAAGCTGCGAGTGCACACGAAGGCAACAAGTAAGCGACATCTGTGCCAACTTGATTGAGCGCTGTGCAGATGATGTCCCGACGGGGGAGCTTTGACATTTTCGGAGCAGCAGCCCCAGTCCTGCAGGGTTGCGAAAGCGCATCATCAGGTCGGTCTACTATGAATTGTATGCTCAGCGGCCCATTCCGTAAAAACTAACCCCTAACACCCTAAAAGAAAACTAAACCCCTGAACCCTGAACCCTATAAACCCATTCCACATGAACTTTGCAGGGAACCGTGGTCAGAGAGAACAGGATTCCTTCAAATCGATAACATCTTCAATGGGCCCTGGATTCCAGGGCCCAAAGTTTTCGCTGCTATGTTTTGTTGTAGGCGCAGGAGAAGGTCGGGCCTGTTGAGTGGCACATGTTGACACGCATGGCATGGCCACTGATCAAGTGGCACATGTTGACACGCATGGCATGGCCGCTGATCAAGTGGCGCATGACACATCATGATCCGCCCCGGACCTCTCCACCCACATGTTGACACGCATGGCCACTGATCAAGTGGCACACGACACGTCATGATGAGCCCCAGACCTCTCCACCCACATGTTGACACGCATGGCATGGCCGCTGATCAAGTGGCACACGACACGTCATCACGCATGGCATGGCCGCTGATCAAGTGGCACACGACACGTCATGATGAGCCCCAGACCTCTCCACACAGATGTTGCCTGAAATCAAATTCTTTCTTGTTGTCTTTTTGTTTGCAAAGCTAAACCCCACACCACAAACCGGTTTGTCCAACCAATCGCGAGAAAGTTTTTTTCGCAAGAACCGGTTTTGTCATAAACCTCCACGCCAGAAACCGCTTTCAACACAAACCCGAACCGGTTTTGTTTGCAACAAGCGGAAACCCCACCGGTTGTGTGCGAAAACCGTTTTTTTCTGAAGTGCTTCTTTGCTTTTGGACGCATTTTAGCTGAAATGACAAAAGCCTTCTTGTTTTCTTTCTGTTTGTAAAGCTAAACCCTACGCCACAAACCGGTTTGTTCAACCACTTGCGAGAAACCTGTTTTTGTTGGCAAAGAAACCCCCACGCTTAAAACCGCTTTCAATAAAGACTCGTTTTCTCCTTCGGTGTTTTGGGTTGAGCATATTGTTAGATACACAACAAGCAGACCACTGGGGGCGCTACGTGATCCATGGGCCATTGCCTGAGCGTTGCATCATGTATGTTTGACCAGCCAGTTCGTGACTGATAGACGCTGCGTGTCAATGGCAGACCTACACCCAACGGGGGTGCATTGGCATTGGATGGCCCTCGCCTGAGCTTGTCAACATCCATGGCAGCATCCTCCGTGGCAATTGCTCTTTGAAAGCCGAGTATCCGACGACACCGACATGACGAGGAGCCTTCAATTTGAAGTGTCATGCTACGCTCACACCCCTTTCGGGGTTCCTTTGAAAGCCCTTCCAGGGTTTTGCTGATTCTTTTGGAGGTCTCAGTTGAACCCTTTCGGGGCTCAGCTCAACCCACCCCTTACGGTTCTCTTGACCCCTTTCAGGGTCTCGGTTCAGTGAAATTTAGCATTATGTTTCAATTACAGCATGTCGGGGCTAACAACTCGAAGGACTGGGCACTGAGTCCTCAGTGCTAAGAAACCCGGCTCATTGCACCTACTGTGCTTGAAAAGCGCCCTCTGAGGCCCTGGATTCCAGGGCCCCGGACGTTGGTCGTCCTGGGCCTGCAGAGAGCCGAGACGTCACAGAAGGTAGTACAGGGCCTGTGCAAAGGTAGAGTGCATGGCCATATGGAGCATGTCAGCTGCGTGCCGCATTTTCCGCGCTGAGGCCACGACTTTTCAGCAGGACCAGCGGCGCTTTGGTGTGGTCAGGGCCTTGTTCTGGGTCTTGCAAGTGAAATCAGTTGCGGTGTCGTTAGGGTCTTGTTCAGTGTCCTGCAAGTGGGCCGTCTTCGCTGTTGCCGTCTCACATCAGAAGTTGAGCTGAGTTCTGAAGCCACACCCATGCTAGATCCCCAACAGCATAAAAGACGAAACAGCTAAGCAGCCTGACGCGTATATGCGTAGATGCGGAAACTGTATGCATGCATGTACGAATGTTTATGTTATGTGGTGAAGTCAAATCAAAGTTGTAATGTCTTGGGTGCCGCCGCCACCGCCACCTGCTGTGCGCCCAAAGCATGCTGGCTGTCCCCCGCCTCCGCAGCCAGCGGAATCGGAAGCAGCACGGCCAGCGAAGTCTCGAGACCCAGCGTATGAAAGACGACAAGCTGCACATAAAGAGATACTCAAACTAGAGAAACAGCTCCTGGAGATGCAAGAGCAACTGGATGCAAGTGTGACCAGGAATCAGAGGCTGAAGGAGGAGCACACCAAAGAACTGGTGGAGAAGCAAGAGCAACTGGATGCAAGTGTGAGCAGGAATCAAAGGCTGAAGGAGGAGCACACCAAAGAACTGGCTGCATACAAGCAGGCCAACTTCAATTTCAACCAGCAGGAGAAGAAGTGGACGGAGGCCAATCGGAGCTTCGCCGTGCAGGAGAAGGACTTGCGTGCTCAGATTGAGAAACTGGGCAAGGATTCTGACGAGCGCAAGCGGCAGCTGACAGAATCGGAACGCCAAGCCAGAGTGGCCAAGCAGAAGCTAGAGGACTGGGTGTGGGTTGATTCCATCCTTAAAGGTTGGTGTGCTTGGTGGTTCCTGTGCTGCACGCATGTCCCTTGTCCACTGCCCCAAACCTGTCACACTCGGCAGAAACACCCTCGCAGGATCAAGTGAAAGTGGTCCAGGCCCGGGATGCGGAGATCCAGAAGCTCTCAGACGAGTGTACAACTGAAAAGAAGGGTCACTTGAAAACAAAAAAGACGCTGGAGGACAGAGGGTTGGGTGGGCAGGTGGGTGGGTGGGTGGGCTGAAACCTTAAACCCCTCGGCAGCGTCTGCTAGTGAAAGAGTGGAAAACCCTCGCAGGAGACATCCAATCTGCTGAGAAAACGTGAGCTCGAGATCGCGTATCTGAAGGCAGGGGGCACAGCAGAAACGCAATTCCTTTCACCTAGAGCCCTATTTTTGCATATTGATGACGTTGCAGGGAGTCCAGGATACCAGCTCCAAAGCAAAAGGCTCAGGCAGACACGGACACGTCTGTGAGAAACCCATGCGTGACAGTTGTCGAAATGCGTCGCAGGTCATTAGGGGGACTACCTGAGGAGGCGGCGAGGAAGCTGGAGGCCTGCTGCTCTCATGACAGCCGCCAAAAACAACACTTCTATCTGTATATATATATATATATGTACAGATACACATATTGTAACATGTTGTTACAAGGTGCCGCGTGTCCACGCCGCTCTGTTGGCGCAGTTCCAGGCGCGAAGCATGAAGCGTGTGAAGCCTTTCTGTGACGCAGAACATGCACTCCCACATGCCATAGGTGGAATGGCGGACCCGGTGTGCTCTTCTTGCGTTCGCGCAGAAAAAAGCCATGACACAAGCT